CCTGGAGCAACAGGAGGAAGGATCAGAAGTCCCTACCTCAGGGACTCCTGTCCTAGATCAAGACTGCCCTCTTGGCTGTGTTGTAAAGTTTGCAGAGCAAAGATAATCCATCACAGTGAATACACTTCCGTGAGCTCCCTCAAATCTTAGATAACCTACAAGCTATTTAGAAGGTCAGTGCAAGCCTGCATCAAGTGACATAAGCTGCTCAGCTGAGGCGACACTATGACAAAGAACCCGGAAGTCCCCACACTGAGCTTAACTCAGGGGTAAACGACTTGGTGGAATTCTGTCATCGCTAAGGTCCCACAGACTGGCAGAGTTTCAAAACACTACCTTAGGGAATTCTAACACAATTCCTCTGACCACCACAGATGGAACAAATCCTCTTCCCAGCAACGTGGGAAGCCTTGATCTGTTTAATTCTCCTACACCTGACATCTCTGCTTCAAGCCACTGCCAGTCTATCTTGACAGGCACATACCATATCTATCCTACACCTTTCACAACACCTGCCCCTGCCGATACTAATTCTAGAATTGGTAGTAGTGTTTCGACAGCAATTCTGAGCCAGGAGTTTCGTCCACCATGAACGGTGCAGTTAGTGATCAGGGGAACTATCACTGCACCGGATCACACTCTGCGCCGAAGTACGAACAGCCAGGACACAATTCAGAACTGGTAGAGGGCGGGGTAGAGGACGTGGAGGAGAGGACCGAGGTGGAGGAAGACAATCTACAGCCTCTCACCCTCCACAAACACAGTTCCACGGCAGAATCTGAGGACAAATCTGAGAAACACAGGAGGTGCAACAAACCTAGTCCACCCTCCCAGCACCTAGGGCTGTGGCTCTCGCTTTCAACCGGAAGGCACTCTTGCCAAACAACTACCTGCTAGAAACCAGGTGTAACTACTGCTACAAGATAGGACATAAGGAGGACCAAGTGTCCGGAAGAAAAGGAAACTTGACAGACAGGGCCCCCACCTTTTTAAGACCTGTTCTCAGACAAACCAGGCAGGAATCTCTGAAAGTAAACACTCTCACACGTCAACCACACTTAGCTACTCGCTATCCCATCCCAGCAGTGGATTGGGCCTTATACAAGACCACAGACCTACATCCCTGCAGCTGCCTCAGTACCCAAAAACCTCTCTCAAGGGCAGGCAACCTTCCATTCCCTACAACACCCACCACCTCAACTGACCACTTCATCATGAGGAGCCAGTCTATCAGCACCGTCGGCCAACATTAGAGGTTTCCATTACTAAAGTTGGAGAGACTCAACATAGCATGTTACCACTCCGACTTCCAGACAGATAGCTGTTGTTGAATCATTTTTGATGACAGGACTCCAGAAAATTTTGCAAGAATTGCGGCTACACCTCATGGATGAGAAGATACAGGGCAAGGGCAAGGAGGTGGTGTTTGCGTGTGCTTCTCTAAAAGTGTCATGCCAGCACATAGATGTTGCCACCCCTACACATCCTTGAAGAAAGCTGTTCTTCAAGCTCAGTAAAACACTAGTACCTCAGTCCTAGCATTGCAATGTCCAGACCTCAAGGTGGCAACATGCATACCCTATCAACTTCCTATAAAAAAAAATTGGGGGGGAAAAATTATTGACTCCCTTCTGCTACAACACAACTGTCAACATATTATAATTGTTGGTGACCCTCAACCAGCACCTTATACAGAGGGCCTTTGATGACCTTCTTAGCAGTGTTTGACCATGAGAAACATTGTTGATGTTTCCCTACTCAAATCTCTGCTCCTCCCGTGACCCCATAGAGTGATCGCAGAAGGCATAGTCACTTGTCAACCCCTCGGCTACGTGGATCGTCAGACGCACAAGGCTGTTTTTTAACCACACTTAAGATCCCCAACAGAACTAGGTGAGGAGTACACACGCCACAACCTGGCTATGGGCAAGAGTAATTGGCCCCCCTTTGCTTCTGAGCTTCGCCACCCACCGACTGGAATGCTTCTTCTCCAGGGGGATGTTTGACAACCAAGTGAAAGCCTTCACTGGACACATCCTTAATCTGCAACAAGAACACATTCCATCACCGGCAATATGTGACAAAGCCACAGATCCGCCTTGAGGTTTGGCTTTCGTTGTAGAGAGGCTGCTACTGCAAAGTACAAAGCATGGCGAAGGTAAAGAGACACCACCTACCACCCTATAACAGGACTTGCACATGCAAGCCTGATGCCATATGGGTGATGTTCAAAAGTGGGCCATTGCAAAAGGGAGGTGGACACTAAAAGCAAGTTACATCCAGGTAGGGTAGCTCAACCTGGTGTGTCCCTGGGTCAGTACAGACAAGGATATCTTGCCCTGATTAACTTAATTCCACCTCTAAATCGACAGGCTGGGACCACCTCTACTAGTATCCAGAGAAGGCGGACCTCTTTGCTGAAACACTTTTGCTACAAAATGCACAGTACCTGATCCAGCAAGGGACCCTCCTTGGCTAGCTGCAAGAACTGTGTCAAAACTTTCAGTGTGACAATAAGGCAGGAGGATGTGCATTTCCTTCTTAAATCCTTGACCAAGAAAATGCCTGTGGGCCCAGACAAGTTGAGGCCCAAGATAGTTGAGAAGATGTGCAGACCAGCTACAGCAACCTCTAACTACGCATCTTTCAGGCACTGCCTAGTACAGTGTAAAGGCCCTCTCCCTGTAAGAGCCAAATGTATACCTGTTTCACAAAAAGAAGAGCAGAGCATAAATCATCACCTACAGACCAGAGTCCACTCCTGTCAATCACAGTAAGATCCTTGAAACAATTATCTCAAGACAAATGACAGATTTTTTTGACATACCACTCACTACTTTTGATCGTCAATTGGCTTCAGGAAAGGTTACTCTGCTGAGCTGATCTGTTTGCATAAACCTCTCCACTAAGTGGTCAACCAGTCCACCTGGATGAATCCAAAGTCAGCTGTGTGGGTAGCACTGGACATTGCTGCGCTTTCGACCGGGTGTGGCAACCATGGCCTCTTACAAAAAAAAAACAAAAAACTTCAAGCACTGGGGAATTGCAGGCTCTACGCTAAGTCACCTCAGTGAATTACCTTCATGGCAAGCATCTCTAAGTGTAGTCCTCAATGGAAACGGATCAGCAAGGCATCCTATTGGGGCAAGCGTACCACCAAGGAAGCGTGCTGGGTCCACTGTTATGGAATGTCTACTTCAACGACCTTCTTCAGCTCATCCCAGAATCACGATGCATATGCATACTACTGTACACTGCCATTCACTTATCCAAGAGAAGAAAGGCACTGCTCTAAGCTACATCAATCACCACTGAAGCTAAATCACTTTGGTGAAAAAGATGGCAATAACCTTATTCAACCTGAGAAAACGCAAATTGATGATAGTCCTCTAGGCACACAAGGAACAAATGCTGGTGCAGTAGTAAGATGAATGGGAGGATATGTTTGGCACCTGGAGAAGAAGATGTATCCTTGGGGTGAAATTTGACTCCAAACTAACCATGAAGATCCATGTTTTGTAAATCTTGCAAACAAAGGCAGCCACAAGCTTACAGCACTTCGCGCCTTAACCTCTCGCATCAGCTTGACAGTAAGGGGTTGCAAGATCTGTACGAGGCCACAAGTACGCTCACCCCTGAGTATGCTCCTCCACTATCTTGGTTTGCCTGCCCCCCCACTCATCTGCGACTGCTTGACAGAGTAGAGAACAAGCAGCAAGACGTCTCATCTCTCGCCTGGACCCATCCTTGAAAGATCTGTCATTTCAGCAGAGCCTTCAACATAGGAGGGATGTGGGTGGCCTTACTGTTATGTACAAGGCCAATATTGTCAAATACCACACTTGGATCCACTTCTAGGACAGCGTGCAACAAGCTTTTATGCCACAAGACCGGGCAGAAACAAGCAACTTCACTCTGGCTTACCCTTCCTCCCCATAACAACAATCCAGCTGAGATCAACATACCCAGGATGACTCGCGATGGAACACATTCGTACAGCATAAATGATGTCAACGAGATAAAGTCAGTTGATCCAAATGATAACTGCTGGCCCACAGATGCCCAACTTCATCACCTGTCCCTTACTTGTAATGTCTCATAACAATAAAAAAGCTTTCAAATAGAGCTGATGTAGGTAACAGCTCTTAGCTTGCCAATAAAGTTTACGGAATCCCTTAACCTGTACTATAGCTGTCAATAAAGCTAGGGATCCTAACCTTGTCAAACCCGCGTAAAAAAAAAAAAAAAAAAAAAAAATACCGAGAGAGAGAGCCACAATCCAGTCAGCCAAACCACCCGGCCAGCCAGCCAGCTATACGTATTACACATGATCCAGAGTTTGTTTTCTCTTTACTTAGGGATAGGTTATACAACATTCTGCAGGAATGACCCTACCAGTGGTTATTCTCCCCCATTCCACTGTGTCGACAAACATTAAAGAATAACAGTAACATATATACTGTATGTGACGTAAAATTTACATACAGTTCACTACCAATGTATACGTTATATACAGTAACATAAATAATTAAAATATAACAATAGAAGTAAATTATGGAAAAAAAGAATGAAATAATGATTGTACATTACATTACAGTACTATGTAGGTAGTTTATATAGGAAAAGTTTGACATTATGAAAAAAAAAAAAAAAAAATGTCCTACCTAATAGTCGGCAATTTTCAAAGATTCGACTTACGTCCATTTTGAACATACGACCGGTTGGTCGGAACCAAGCTCGGTCGTAAGTTCGGATGGTAGGTGTAAGTAAATAAATAAGAACTGTCACTGAATCTGTAAATAAACAAATAATTTCTGTAACTAAATACTAGTATTGAAAAGTAAATGAATGAATACAAGTTATGGACTTGCTGCCTTCATGCTGGGTAATTATCTTATGTTTCATCTTCAAAGTAATTGCAAAAGGACTTTTGGAGATGAAGTAAATGAGCACCTGTGTAGTAATTTTTAATGATGTATGTCACCAGATAGTGGATTCAGCGAGAAAGAGGGAAGTCATGTGAAGTTGAACAGAATCTGTACTTCATGGTGGTGAAGCAAGCAAGCATCGAGGACAACCCCGATGACGACACAGTTCAAACCTCACTGCCCAAGTCGTACATGCGTGCTTATGATCTGGTCAAGCTGGACTCCTTCGTCTGCACCCATGGACCCTCCACCAAAGTTGATGGTGAGCTTTGACATTTTTCTATGTGTAATTGTGAACTTCAGGTCACATCAGTAGCTGTGCTAACAGAAAAATTAATAAATCTTTAGAAAGTTTCTCTATCAGTGTCACCTGCAGTGTTTTAGTAAGTAAATGCTGTAGAATAAGGACCATGAGGGTAAAACTGAGAAATAAGGTAAGGGGCAAAAATGTAGAGTATAATATTGAGGTGGTGTTTGAGTATGCCATGGACAGAATATACATGATGCATTGTGAACCTTGATATGGGAGGGCCCCACATATACAGCACCCTCTTTTGGTGTTCCAGACTGATGCATTAGCCACTTGGCCAGCTGGTTACAGTAAGATTCATCCAACTAGGTATATTTATACACGGCCATGCTGGCCGGAGATTCGTCTGTAAAAACTTGCATTTATGGTCAGATTAGTGCCTATGCTAAACTTCCTATAGTATATAAATATACCTAGTTGAATGAATCTTATTGTAGCCAGCTGGCTCAGTGGCTAATGTGTCAATCTGGAGTTTTATGACTCTCTGATCACGGGTTCTGTCCCCGCCCATGGTATGGTTTGTTTTATATTATGAAAAAAAAATGCTCTTTTTCACCTGCTGCTTACCCTATGGTGTTGGGAACAGTGCCCTCCTGTATAGTGGAAGTAATGTGAATAAAATACCAGAATAATAATCTCATTACTATAATGGGTATATGTAACCATTGTAAAATGAAATGAATGGAGACAAGTGTTTTTTTGGGATTTGACATGCTGTTAAATGTGAATAAAGTAACATGAAGGGAATCAAGGAAACTTGTTAAGTGGAGGTGAGAACTACAATTCCTACACTCTGAATAATGGGTGAGATGTTGCAGCTCAGATGTTTTTTTTTTTTGAATTGTAATATCTGCTCATTTCTGCAAGACAGCTGTTGAATTAGGGATGGTGAATGTGTTTCCTACTTAGAAGATTTCACTGAACAGAAAAGGATGGTGGCTGCCTAGAAAATATTGAAAATCTTGCACCACATATCATCCTTCTTGGAGATTTCAATTTCCCAGATGTCAGGTAGAAGATAATAAGTTAAAGCATTATTCTTGAAATACAGTGGACCCCTGACATTCGATATTAATTCCGTTCCTGAGAGCTCATCGAATGTCGAAAATATCGAAAGTCAAATTAATTTTCCCCTTAAGAAATAATGGAAATCAAATTAATCCGTGCAAGACACCCAAAAGTATGAAAAATTTTTTTTTACCACATGAAATATTAAGTTTAATGCAATAGAATAATTACAATAACAATTTGATTAATAACAATAGAATTGACACTTACCTTTAATGAAGATCTGGTGATGATTGATGGGATGGGAGGAGGGGAGAGTGTGGATGGTGTTAGTGTTTAGAAGGGGAATCCCCTTCCATTAGGACTTGAACTGGCAGCCTCACCATGCCTTACCACACTGTGTATGCCACTACAATTCTTAAATCTTTCAAACCAACCTTTGCTGGCCTTAAATTCACTCACATCACCACTAGTTGCAGGCAATTTCTTTACCAAATCATCATGCAACTGCCTAGCCTTTTCACAAATGATCGCTTGAGAGATGCTATCTCCTGCTGTCTGTTTTTCCCTTTATCCACACCAATAACAGTCTCTCAACATCTTCTAACACTAGCGATCTCTGTTTCGAAAGCAAAGTTGCACCTTTTGCAACAACAGCTTCCTTGATTGCAGTTTTCCTGCTCACTATAGTAGAGATGGTTGATTTTGGGTTTACTATACGTACAACCTGGCCAGCTCCGACACATGCACTCCACTTTCGTACTTTGCAATTATCTCTTTCTTCATTTCTATAGTCATTAGCACTTTTTTTTCTCGAAGGGTTGGCACTAGAAGCTTTCTTGGGGCCCATGGTTACTTATTTTGCAGAAAACAGCACCAAAAACAGTGATAATATATGGAATGTACCGAATGTATCCTTAGATGCTCGCACACTGGCTGGCTTGTAAACACTGGCACACATGGGGCAGTTCAGGCCACACGTGGACATGTCTCGTACGAATCGTATAAAATATCGGGTTTTCCATTGAATGTCGAGGCGAAATTTTTGCGTTAAAATGCATCGAATGTCATATTTATCGAATGTCGATGTCATCGAATGTCGGGGGTCCACTGTAGTACCTGGAATTCCTCACTGACTGCAGAAATATTTCAGTTGAGCCAACAGATAACATACTGAATTGAAGTGCAAACAGTCATAAAGTTACTTTTGGAGACATTTAGAGTGGATGAAGCAAAATGGGATGACTAGGAGGGCATATAAATCTGGGGTGGAGGGAAGGAGGGTTCTGAGTCATCCCAGGCAGGGTTGATGGGACTATGTAAGGGGGGTTTGTGAGTGTTAAGTGCTTGGGCATCCACGCTTTTTAGATAGGAGTGATTGGAGGCAAGTGGTTTTTACGGTTTGACATGCTGTTGGATTGTTAGCAAAATAGCATTTATAAAGATATTAAAGAAGACTGGTTAGCCGGACATGAGTCTTGGAGGTAGGAAGTATGTTGCATGTACTCAGGAGGAAGGGTGGGGAGGTTGCAGTTTAGAAGGTCATTTGAACTGTGATGTTAGCATGCTTCTGGAAAGACAGTGATTGAATGAGTGATGATAAACAAGTTTCTTTTTTTGGGTCTTTTCTTCATTGGTGGGAGATAGCCAGTGTGTTATAAGAAACTTCAAATATCAGAGAATTTGCTGTGACCAAATATCACAAGAACTATCAAAGATTTCCTGGAAAACTGTGTTTCTGGGAATCTGTCCTGAGAATGTTAACTCAAACCACCAAATGAGAAGTATATAAGTGTGTATAAAATATTCCCAGCTGAGAAACTCTGAAAGTAGATGAAATTTGGAATGAAAACACAAGACTTCAGTGAGAAGAAAGTAAATTGCTGAAATGCTTAAAAAAAAATGCAAATGTCAAAAACATTGGAAATGCAGATAAGTCATTATTATTTTTTTTTATTATCACACTGGCCGATTCCCACCAAGGCAGGGTGGCCCGAAAAAGAAAAACTTTCACCATCATTCACTCCATCACTGTCTTGCCAGAAGGGTGCTTTACACTACAGTTTTTAAACTGCAACATTAACACCCCTCCTTCAGAGTGCAGGCACTGTACTTCCCGTCTCCAGGACTCAAGTCCGACCTGCCGGTTTCCTGAACCCTTCATAAATGTTACTTTGCTCACACTCCAACAGCACGTCAAGTATTAAAAACCATTTGTCTCCATTCACTCCTATCAAACACGCTCACGCATGCCCGCTGGAAGTCCAAGCCCCTCGCACACAAAACCTCCTTTACCCCTCCCTCCAACCTTTCCTAGGCCGACCCTACCCCGCCTTCCTTCCACTACAGACTGATACACTCTTGAAGTTATTCTGTTTCGCTCCATTCTCTCACATGTCCGAACCACCTCAACAACCCTTCCTCAGCCCTCTGGACAACAGTTTTGGTAATCCCGCACCTCCTCCTAACTTCCAAACTACGAATTCTCTGCATTATATTCACACCACACATTGCTCTCGGACATGACATCTCCACTGCCTCCAGCCTTCTCCTCGCTGCAACATTCATCACCCATGCTTCACACCCATATAAGGGTGTTGGTAAAAATATACTCTCATACATTCCCCTCTTTGCCTCCAAGGACAAAGTTCTTTGTCTCCACAGACTCCTAAGTGCACCACTCACCCTTTTCCCCTCATCAATTCTATGATTCACCTCATCTTTCATAGACCCATCCGCTGACACGTCCACTCCCAAATATCTGAATACATTCACCTCCCTACTCTCTCCCTCCAATCTGATATCCAATCTTTCATCACCTAATCTTTTTGTTATCCTCATAACCTTACTCTTTCCTGTATTCACTTTCAATTTTCTTCTTTTGCACACCCTACCAAATTCATCCACCAATCTCTGCAACTTCTCTTCAGAATCTCCCAAGAGTACAGTGTCATCAGCAAAGAGCAACTGTCACAACTCCCACTTTATGTGTGATTCTTTATCTTTTAACTCCACGCCTCTTGCCAAGACCCTCGCATTTACTTCTCTTACAACCCCATCTATAAATATATTAAACAACCACGGGTGACATCAACAATCCTTGTCTAAGGCCTACTTTTACTGGGAAATAATTTCCCTCTTTCCTACATACTCTAACTTGAGCCTCACTATCCTCGTAAAACTCTTCACTGCTTTCAGTAACCTACCTCCTACACCATACACTTGCAACATCTGCCACATTGCCCCCTATCCACCCTGTCATACGCCTTTTCCAAATCCATAAATGCCAAAAAGACTTCTTTAGCCTTATCTAAATATTGTTCATTATATGTTTCACTGTAAACACCTGGTCCACACACACCCCTACCTTTCCTAAAGCCTCCTTGTTCATCTGCTATCCTATTCTCCGTCTTACTCTTCTTTCAATAATAACTCTACCATACACTTTACCAGGTATACTCAGCAGACTTATCCCCCTATAATTTTTGCACTCTCTTTTATCCCCTAAGTCATGTGTGCAGCAATTAGGTATCTTTAACCATTAATGTTTAACTTACACAGTAGGCTTATACAATATAAGTTATATTACAACATGATACATTGTTTATTATTGAATATAAACAATGTATCATGTTGAAAGAATTAAGAGTAAGACGGAGAATAGGATAGCAGATGAACAAGGAGGCTTTAGGAAAGGTAGGGGGTGTGTGTGGACCAGGTGTTTATAGTGAAACATTATAAGTGAACAGTATTTAGATAAGGCTAAAGAGGTCTTTGTGGCATTTATGGATTTGGAAAAGGGTATGACGGGGGTGGGGGGGGCAATGTGGAGATGTGCGGTTTTGGGGTTGGGAGGTAGGTTACTAAAAGCAGTAAGATTTTTAGGGATAGTGGGGCTCAAGTTAAGTATGTAGGAAAGAGGGAAATTATTTCCCTTTTAAAAG